ATGTCAGATGTTAGTAGGGCTCGACAAATATTTGTTTTAGCGATGTTACCCACTGAGGTTAGGCGACGGGTGTCTGTGTCCGCTATCAAAGGCAAGCACGTAACTTTCAGATATTGATGTATTACCATATCTTCACACATACTGATATCAGACTTGTTCCCAATTTAATCTTCTTTTCATGGACAAGTTGTTCAACAAGGATCTTGCCTGAACAAACATAAATAATGTCAACTTCCGATTCATTATGGTGTTTCAATTTGGCCATTTCTGCTGAGTGAACATAACCATGTCAACGCTTGGGGCAATGCCTGAAGAACATTAAGAGGCGTTACGCCACATCTATCATCATTGCTCAGTAACCTGCAATCGAACAGGGTCAATGAGTTGTTGGGTTAAGTGCTTCTTCTTTACCAATGACTGCACATGGATCCTGATAATTCCTTCTGATAATTGCGGGCGAGTAAACAAACTATTTAGACTATTGCAGCATAATGGTGAAGCACTACGATCTGTTCAATATGGTTCCGTCTCCACACTATTGGAACTGAGCAGTGGGAATGAGGTGTGACTTCTTAGGCCTATTAAATATGCATTTTCTGTTGCTGCGCATCAGTTCAAAAGTTTATTAATGATCCATTAGACTTTCGATGCCGATTATGTGTGTCCGACGAGATGTGTGCCCACATAAATACGCTCGCGTTGCGGGCAAATCGCGTACATAGTTGATCACTAGCAAAAACCTCGATACGATCCAAGGGCAGTGGTATGCCCTTCGGCCGGCATATCGTGTTCAGAAAGTCCTGTTGGTTTGTCTACTCGAAAGTCAAGTCGTTGTACCCTATGACTCGATTCCTGCAAGCCATTCTTTCAAATGTTCGAATACTTCATCCCGAAGCTAGAGACTGTCGCACAGAGGGACAACGAAGCCGTTATCGCTTCTTACGAGGTATTTGTTTGGATGCTAGGAAATATTTGACCGCAAAAACAAAATAACTGCTAACGACATCAGAAGCTTTGCCCGCGCAAGTAAGAGAGGAACGATCATGGTGATTATGATGACAATATGTTGAAACGTTCAGCAGGCGTCTATCAGGGTGAGACACAAATTAAAACCATTGTAACGTGGCGTAAACCTGATAGAAAATCCTAAGTCGCTATGTGAAAAGTCTCGGTGGTACGCGAATAACGCAACAGCGACTACTAGAACACCTCTATAAATAACAGAATACAAATAACGGCGTCGTCCTGTGCGGTTTCCAGTAGCGTTCGTGTTGTAGCTTTATGAGTCTAATCCTTCCGATTACGAAGACATTTTCTTCTTACGCGAAAGGTAGAATCATATACCACAGCTATCTAGAATAACTAGCTTCGTTTCAAACCAAACGACCACTACAATGTACTCCGTCGTAGAAGTCATGCTGGCATCACCAACAGAATTTCATTTTTGAAGAGTATGATGGATAAAGTAAATGCGGTCTAAAAACAGAAACTCAGATGAAAACGATATAAATCGATTTTTTTTTTTTGCAATCACGATGAACTTCAATTGTACGAGCTATCCAAGAGACGAGTGAGATTACTGTTCTCCGAAGCGTTTTTTAAAATAGTTTTCGTGATGACTGAGCTGCTGTTCATGACCTGTTCTCACGCTATTCAACAGCTCGCTAAACGAATACCCAACAGTAGCATGACCTTTCCTTATCAGGAGGAAATCAAAAAAGATCTGTGTCAAAGCAGCATGCCAGATCTTTGTGAATGATCGCTATGAGAAGAAACGCCCTCGCACAATCGCAGAAAATGTCGGCGCCTTATTTTAAACCTGAACGACCTAATAGTTGCACATTTACTTCAAATAGAGCGAACGAATTGATAAGTCCACGCTGTCCGACGAGTAACACTTGTACCGTTATTTGAGTTGTCACGTGCAGCCCGACATCTTATCAAAGATGTCCGCTAGTTCGTTGTCCATGTCGTACAGCTATTTAGATACAGATATTGCTAGTCTGGATCGTTTGTAGGCATATCCGCTTACTGGAAGCACTGAAGATCTGAACTTTCCGTTGGTGCGACGTTTATGTCAATGGATGAACCTGAATCTGTGATGATTTGGCCTGCTCATTAGATTTGTTTTCTTGACCAGTAGCTCGGCGAAATGCGTGCTAATTCCGAATATCACTTCGCTTGAAGCTCGATACTGAAGATTTCGGAACGGACAGCTCCTCAGTCAGATAGGCTAATTTATTTCCCGATAGCTTACAAGTGAGTTTACTTCATTATTTATCCAGTATCATGTACTAGAGAACGATTCGTTTAAAAGAAATCGGATAGAATTCAACCTGTCTACTATCTACGTTCCCGGGCTCCAGCGATAATGAATGAGGCGAACTAACGAGCTGGCCACGCACGTAATTTCGGCGAATTCGAATAGCGTAATGGAATTCTCGACATTTTCTACCGTAGGACGCTGTTGAGACATGACGATATGATAAAGCAGACGACAACCACCTTTCTTCCTTGTAGAAATTGGCCCGCCAACATGAACAGTGTTGCATTGTAGAAGATGCCGCTGAAATCGGATACGACGAGATTGGTAACGCATCAGGAAAAGGCAGCACCGCGAGCGAGTTTAACGTCCGCACAATGAGAACGAACAACGGACAAACAAACGAACGAACGGACGGAAATCGCCCGTGGCCGCTGACAGTCGCTAAGTCCGCCGCCTTATTAAATACAGCCACGATTTCGAGCGATCAGCCATTCTTGGTTTTTTTTTTTCATTATGTTTAGGTGGTGAGTTGTCCACCCGTGTTCTCCCTATCCAAACATTACAGTAAATACACGGAGTCAATTAACGATGGTAAAGAAAATATGGGAGCTTTAAGCAAAACGACTGCGGGCAAAGGATACTACACGTATCGTATCTGATCTGTCAATTGCTTAGTGACTATTCGCTCTGTAGATAGAAGCTGTCCAACGCTGCAATTCTAATATATACCGATCACAGTATTTAGTGTCTTCTCATTATATTAACGGGTTCATTATTAGCTTCCGTTGATTAAAGCTTTCATAGAGTGGGCAGTTGTCGGCTTTGTTTTTCTTTGCTTGTACCGTTAATGTGTATGAAAAGGAGCGATACGTGGGGTCATTAGCGTCCGGTCATTTGCCCTTCATCAGCCGGACGGGGCAGTCACGTGGCTATTTTTGATAGAGGAAACGACGCTAGCGACAATGTAATAGAGCAATAAAATGTTAGCGTTTGCATATGTTCTGGTCTATACGTGATACAATTTATATTGAATTTGCTGCTTTTTACATATAAATGTGTGCAATGATTGATTATATACGCAGGTAATTTAATCTGCAGCTGGCCAGAAGCCTCGATGTTCCGTTCTCGAAACATGGCCACATATGCGAGAACATTTGAGAAATAGTTGTGTATGAATGCCCTAGATAAGACCGTTCGTTACGTGATTAGTGTCTCTTTTGTCTTAATTGTATAGCAGTGCTAATTGCTCCTGTGCCCCCGTGATTCCCACCAGAGCGACGACCAAAGATGACCGCGCTGTTTCGGCGGTGGGGAGCAAGAGATCGCAGGCGTGTGCAATCATATTCAATTAAGAAATTGCGCAAATACCGCCAGCGCTGTCGACTGCTAAAGTTAGCTTGATCTAACTAACGAAACCGGATAGCTCTCTCCACCTAAGGTTGATTTTGGAGGGACACGATCGCTATTTAGCTGAACGCTGCTCAGCTGATTTGTTGTTAACCTACTCGGGTCAGAGAGCAATTACAGATGTCACAATGTCCTCGACAGATACCCTATATGACAATATGTATAATGCATTTCAGAAACAGGTGCTGATTTTGGTCTACCGAAAAATTAGGGCATGGTGGAAGAGCTTTCTCCTTCAAGGCTGCTTGTCTGCGATCGGCGCCATGACACATAAATCACTGCGCACCGATCGATCATTTTCATATTACGCTTCATCCAACACAGTCTGTTTACTGCAAAGATTTGTTAATAACTTTTGAACTGCTTCACGCTATATCAGCTCTAATATACATCGTTACTTGTTGTCCTAAATAATATTTTACAAGACTTTTTATGATTGCAGCCCAATTGACCTGATGTTGGAAAAGTTCTTACAAAGTAGACAAGTCCTGTTGGCGAAGCAGCTATTGCCAAACAGCATAATCTGTGTCGTTTTGTATCGGCTAGTATTAACTTGCCATTTTAGACGACCTTCGAGGCAGCCAATTGAAGATTATCCATAGAATAGTGCGTCGGATACCCATCTGTTCTAACGAGTAATTATGAGATAATTAGATCTGGACCCTAACACTTTTAAATGTTTTAATCTGTATCGATCACGACTGCGTCTCAAGGTTAACTTGCAATATCCCTTTTAGGCATAGCTTTAGTTGGCTAGCAGCCCCGTAGAGGAGCTCCAAGCGGAGAACCAAGTGGAACGGTGTCCGGTCTCAAGGCTACACCAGAACACGTGGTGCTACGTTCAACAGGGAACACTACCGCTAGATTAGCAACATGTTGCGAGCATCAATGCGCAGAAAAGCAATTTACACTACTAACCTAAGCATAAATAAGTTTAAGTCTCTACTATAGTGATAAACAGCTGACTCCCAGCTGTTGATTCCACGATAGCTACTGTTTCAACACCGTTCTGTAGCATTACTTTAAAGACCTATCAAAATGGGCAACTCGATATAATCAATGGCAAAGCAACAAACTTACGGACCTGTCAATACGTACCTCGCCTTTTTTCTCATTTTTCTTTTACCCTGGTTTTACCAGAGTGTAGAAGTGTATCCAAGCAAGCTTCGTTTCGAACCCAAACCAACTTATATATTTCTCAAGTTAGTAACCGTTCAAGTTCGGATTGCACCATACCCTATTAGGCTCCCGTTTCGATCTCGATAAATCTCAGCAGGGCAATATGTTTTTTATCTAAACATGTGATCTTTTGTTTTAATTCTTTCAGATGAGACTTCCACAAAAAAAAGTGTCTTTATCTGGACGGTAGATAGGTGGCGACACTGGTGACGTAAGGGGTTCGAGTCGCCCGCCCTCCGGGGTGGCCACTCCTTTTTACCGTTTTAGTTTCCACTGGTCGCGAATATGGCAAGACCATTGTTCGAGATTTGGCCGTTAGTGGTCGCATTCAGTCTCATTATAGCCCCATCAGCGACTGGTCAAAGTCAGTCGACTCATACTCCACGTAAGTCCCGCTATCATTTTGTCTAAACTATCTAAACGAGTCAGGCAAATTCATCTAGGACAAGTACGCTTTACGCATATATCAATTATGTACATAGGCAAAACTAGGAACAAAGAGAACTGTAACGCCTAATAAATAGGCTTATTTTGTAAATACTCTCCATACCTTGGTTCATGTGGCGCCCTCTATCAGTCTCCACTCGCACTAATTTTCGATTTGTTCCTAAAGCGAAAACCGGCATTGCAATGTGCCAAATGCAATTTTTTCACCAAATGCTCTGTTTCGAAGCATCTAGACAATAAGAAGCGAGCAATAGTAATCGTTTGATGAGACTCGTGTAAAAAGGTTACATATCCGTTTTTTTTTTTTATTATTTATTCATCTACGATAGCCTTTTGAATAAATCAAACGATTTCGCGCACTTTTTCAACAAACGACTAGGTAAAAAGGCTAGCAAACATTGTCTACAATTTCGCGCATGAATGCTTGACCTGATGTCGAGTGAAAAAAAGGGGCGCTAATTTTAAAAACGCAGATTTCACCCTGTCGTTCATCGTTAGATCTTAGATTCTTCGACTTCTCTGAATGATTTGACCATAAAAGCTTCTATTATATACAGGGATAGGTGCTTAGCAACTTTTGTTGCAGACGTTTATGTCGAGAGGCAAACTATAGTGCCTATAGGGCACACTTTGCACACATGGAAACCTCACACGAAATCAATGAAACGAACAAATTTGGGACGGCTATAATGAAATTATAGAAACTTTTGATAAGTGCATGCAGATGCAGTACTCAGTAGTTTTTTGGACATCAAGCATTCACGCTGTCACGTCATGCGGGCTTAACGCTCCCATACACAATGCATCTTCACTGGCCCGTTTTAAGTCAGTGTCCTGGTTGAGACGAAAACTGTAGTTACATACTCCCTGATCTGCGCACGACGTCCGCCATTTCTTGAACGAACGTAAAGACGGGCTCCGTCTCAAAATGCAATGAAACAACTCAGTAAATTATCTGGGCAATCGGGAGAATCAAGGCAGAGTAAAGCAGATCTTGTAAATTAAATAATCCTTCTGGATATAATTATTTTCCTGATATAGGACATAAATTAGTTAGCATTTTTTGATTTAACATATTCAGAACAGTCAGGAATTGCTGGTTAGAACTTCGCCAACGACGTATGCCACACGACAGATGCGATCAAATAATGAAACTATATATATTCAGAATATTCAACTGTTTGTCATAGATTTAAGAAGACAAATGATATACTTCTGCCAGACAGAGTGACTGTAAAATTATTCCACATTCAGCATAGCTCTGAAAATAATACTAGAACATATAGCAGCTTATTATACAGTTTTTTTTTTTTTTTTTTTTTCTAGATAAGAGATTCATAACGATACTATGCAATAAGAATCTAGATATTGTGAGAGTATAGCTGGTTAATTTATCAGCTCTTGCTAGGAATCCCTAAACATGGGTTGTCCTGACAACCAAGTGTCGACCTATTTAAATGTATAAATTTAAAGTCAGCTGCCGTTATATATGGACTTCGTTTAAGCTATAGTTTCGATTGTTTATAGCTGAGAAAGCGCGATGGCAGCTGGAGACAGGAGTATCATCTGCTCATTGGAGGCCGAACTCACGAGATTATGCAAGTATGTGCATACCGTCTAAGCGACACCGGCCGTAAACAGGACAGAAACAGTGACTTCCGCTAAATAGAAAAATAGTACATGTGCATGAGGATGAATGCATGCCGCATGTTTAGGGTGGTTATTAGCGTCTGCTAGTATTTTTAAAGCTCTAAGGACGTCATCCAGGAGTTGTCGATTGCTTACTATTAGGGTGCATGTAGCCTGCATTGTGGCAAAAGACAATGCCCCTCTCTTCCGATCGATTCTTTCAATGACTTTTTGTAATCTAGCTAGTTGCTGACAGCAAAAGTTTGTATTTATCGTTTGTCCAGTTTTCAACATAGCATTACGATCTTTGCCGTCTGTTTGGGCTTGGCCAGAGACTGTGGAGCACGTTTTTATTTATTAGTCCTATTTGGACACATTGTTGCCGTGTATGAGTAACATTTCAGCACCCGGAATAGACTGCTTTAGAACTATCTTGATTTCGTTAAATCTCTGCAGAGTTTTGTTGACGAAGATGCTATGAAGTAATTTTCTTTGCGTCAAGTCTTATGGCAGCTAAACATGCCCTTAGTCCTTTAAAACTGTGAATATGTAGTCCTTTGGCAATATCATGGCCACTGGCTTGTCGGTCTTGCTTAACTTTTATAGTAATTTTATTAATTATTCTTGTAACTGGTCGAAAGCTGCGAGGAGCACCTTTCACATCGAAATTTCCAGAACGGAAGTTACAAAACTACCTTTGGGCTATTTCTTCCATGTTGCATCTTGACTATCATCAGCACGAACCTTTATGGGCCTGGGCAACATTCGTATTTTTACCGCAAGAAAATTGTAAAATATAACAAGGTTTTGCAGAAATTTCACTTATGTCCAGGGTGCTATAGATCAGGTCTGAATTCCAATAGCCTTAGCCCGTGTGCTACTGCTAAATCTCAGCGCTTCTATGACGCCAACATCAATCCGATACAGCCCATATTACCTGAGATACGTGACACTGAAGCCATCTAGCTACTTTCTCCGAAACCCATATAAACTTCGTTGAAATTAATCTGCCTATGGCGCTGTAACAGGGGCCCTCCACTAGACGAATAGGTTACAATTACCGTATATATATATATATATATATACAACCGTAATTAGTTTACGTGTAGCCTCTTAACAACAAAGGGCACGTCCTTAAACGTGGGGCAAATTCGTAAAGCCGCAGTATTCCTTCGTTTGTTAACACTAAAGCATCGATAAAACTGAGTAGACGAGATATTTGCAGCAGCGTCTTGGCGCTTTTGGTCAGAGAATCTTTATTCCATTACCCTGATGTATGATGATACACTATCTTATACAATGTATCACCGCATTTAGCACTATCAGTATCGAAATTATAAAAGCGTAAATTATCAAAAGGCTCGCAAGCTGAACAACTTCGAGCTTTGTCCAAAGGAATATGCTGTTTCAAGACATATGAACGAAATGTCGCCAGTTACAAAGCCGGCCACAACCTGGACATCTAAGGTACCTATACCCAATAGTAACGTATACAAGCCTTAAATCTTTTTGTTTGTTGCGTGCAGTCAAACAATTCGGGAGAAATATGAAATGTGGAAAGGTAAGCCAATGATTGCGTGATTTGGAGATGGCTCCGTGCTCTCGCATAGACAAACGACATCTTTTTTCGCTAACTCGCTTGTAAATGAACGATGATTATTGCTAAAAAAGCACGCTGATTATCAATCATGCATTAAAAAAACGTAACTTGAACTAATAGAGATTATCGAAGCGCAGAGATGGAAGCGTTCGACGTAATATTAATAAGCATAACGAGAACTTCGGTGATGGTGGTGGTGGTGGTCATATTTTGGTGATCGGGTTCGACATTTGTGGTAAGTTCACAACTCTAATTCCATTCTATATTTCCAGTCTAGGTATTAGTTAATATGGCTAAGATAGAAGGTACGTAGATAAAGTACTAGATAATATAGATGATGTATAATCTATTGAAGTCGATCATTTTAGTCGTCGTTTAAACACTGAAGAACGATCTTTATTACATTTCGCAGGTTCACACATATAATCGTAATGTGCGGATCTAAATTATAGGTCAGCTGCAACAGGACGACCCTTATTGGTCATCTACCTGGGACCAGCAGAGGGTGCAAGTTCCATCCAGGCTAGCATATGACTATAGCTTACCAACAAAAAGTCAAGAAGTCACACAGAATATTGAGCATATTCCGGGAGGATATCGTCATAGAACCGCCACAACGACCTATGAGACATCTTCGAACAATAGAACCTTACCAGGCGTCAGCCATCGAGATGGACAGTACATTTACAGGTGACATTTATAACTGACCGTTCGTTGTTAGAAATGACGTCTCGTACGTAGCTACTAAGTAATTTTTTTATGACAAGGGTTTAAATGTACATCCCGTCCAGATCGGCTGCGTCCGGCTGATTCGATTGTTGCGGACATTAGCAGATTATAGGCGAAAAAACGTCGTAAACGTGGGGTAGTTAGGGTCATCGATTTTAACTCAACTTAAATCGCTTTCGGCTTCTATTTTTCCAAGTAAGTTACTTCGAGGTTTTAGCGAATCGAAAAGCACGTGACAGTTTTTCTAACCAAGCACAATACATATCTCTTCTGTATATATACGTATGTAGTTAAGTGTATGGACCTAGTAACTCTACTTACTACTGCGATAACGCATATTCCGATTCCTTTTCATATTGTTCCGCCTGTCAAATGTTTAGCCAAACACATTTTTTACCAAATTAAACTAGCAGACGAACTTTTACTGCCTCCGTTCATTGTTTCTCTTTCCTTTTTTCTCGTCTGTTAGCGATATGATACACCTTTTTTTTTGCTTTTATGATGCTACTGTGATGGTTTTTTGCGATTTTGGACATGGAAGCCAGTGAACGATTGTTTTTCTAAGTGGGACAATTGCTACATTGCATAAAGTAACGCGCTTATTTTAGCATAAAAAACGTATTGATATTCTATAACGAGTAAAATCGATCAATAGATAAAGACATGAATTATGAAACGGAAGATACAGTAAAAACTTCTTGTGAAAACAGAAAGACCTAAAAAAAAACTAATAGATGAGGCATGAGGGAACGATTGTGATTTTTGACTAAATTTTTCTAAAGCTTCCATAAGGCGGCGCCAATTAAAGGGAAAATCGCAAGGCCTGTATGAAGTGTAACCTCGGAACCAAATAGTAACATTTTTTGACAATCGGCTTTCACCGGTTTGAGAGATTCAGTGAGAATCACGAACTTTGGTACGGCCTGACAGCTCGGCAGGACCAAGATTATGTTGGTGCTATTCCGTATTTCGGCAGCCTTTCGTGGGCAGTCCTTGATGAAAATGAAAAAGACAGAAACATCAATGTCTTTAAGCCGCAGTTGTAAGATTCTACTATCTGCTATACGCACTGGAGGTTTTGTGTTATCCTGGTAACTACGACGGAAGCATAGTTATGAAATAAGCCGGCCCACTCAGGATGCTGCTAAAGGAATACTCCGGGTTTTCAATGAAGATCGCGTACTTCTGTAGAGTTCTAGTACTTGCGACCATGGCTGGGACCCGGTGTGTTATTCGCTACTTGATACGTAAGTTTAATAATCATCAGTAAGTTTAGAACAACGAATGAACTTATAGCTACCCCTCAACAAAGTACATTATTTAACGGCCGGCTTTGCTCCGTCTGTCAAGGGAATCTTTCAGCTATAAAAGCTGCCTCCAAAGTTCTGAGCAGTAACTTCTATCGCCGACTGAATGTCTCGGTTTTGCAGCTATCACGACGATGCTCGGCCAAGAAGTACTTGCTTTGGCTAGGTCCTTTGAACTATACCTGTCTTTTTTCCAAAAAACGTTTACTTAATATAAAGGATTATGAAATGGATCTGGGCTTGTGGAAAGATCCGCTGCGAAACGTAACCTTATGCACATGGAGGAGCGGTTTAAAATAGCTACTAATAGATCGGTAAGCTACCAAGCAGCGATTGTGCTGCTGTTGCCACGTAGCAATTGCACCTTTTTTGGTACAGTTTCTCAAGCAACACATTTATATATATATATATATACATACCTCTCGCAGCTAGCAAGCACAAATCTGAAACGTCCCTTTGTTGAACTTTCGAGTGCTCACGCAGTCTTCTCTTCCGCAGACTTTTACTTCCCGAAAGACAGGTTAGCTCATTTGCAGTAGCGTAACTTCCTCTACTGAACGCTGCACCTGATGCAATCGTAAGGCTTGACCCGCCAAAGCCTGGGTTGTAAGTAAACATACGGCCGACTTCCTCGCTTGACCATTCGCTACTTGGGCAGGCCGCAAGCTAAGAGCTTGCAGATTTCTATAATCTGCAAAAGTTTAACAACTGCATATGTTGAACCGGTGAAACCAAAATTGTATCACTGCACACAGTCTATGAGTGCAAAAATGGTGGAAAGGTCGACACCTAAATATCGGTGATGTTCGAAAATTGCTCAATTGTCTTCCCTAATTGTCATGGCATAAGATACTAAATGTCTCTCGAGAAAATGAATAGCAAAGTAAATGTAATAGTATTTCCTGCTAAGCCATTAACGGAAGCATCCTGTCGAGTTAAATACTTAGATCTAATTGGGTTTTCTAAGGCACGTTGTAGAATCCACGACGATATGCTATATATGAAGATGTACTTTAAAAGCGATCTGAGGACATCGGACAGTCCAAACAGAAGCCAAAACCGAAGCCGGCAGGTCCGCTTACGGATGAAGTTATTGCTGCATTATCTCAATAGCTCGTATGCAATTGATGGATGTATCGCTTCCGTCTATTAAGTAGCTCTAGGATCCAGTTGAAAACTATCGTTCATGAAGGCTGACGATTGCTGGAATGCACAATTCGTATCCCTTAACAATTGAGCTCTGCGAGTTGAAAGGCACTGCAAAGCCTACAATTCACCCTAGAATACATGAAATTGAACATTTGTCCGAAAACGAATATTTCAAGCCAAAAATACGGCACTGCCATCAAGAAAAACGGCCTCAAACGACCACGAAGATTTACCATCTCTGCTATGCAAACATGTTATTACTGCACTATCATTTATTGAATCTGACAACGATTTCATGCTATTGTGGAGCTGACCTACATTTGCTACTGTCACAGGTACCGCGGGCCAATTCGTGAATACGTCGATTATACCTCGTCCTATACGACTTCTCGCCGAGGGGGAAGTGGCACCAGTCGTTCTGGCTCTTCGTATGCGACTTCCTATGCGTCAAATGACGCCTGGCTGGCCTTCATCAATGCTGCAGCAGATGGCAGAAATTACGGTAATACAAAGCCTTTGCTTTTTGCCTTCTCTTTCTTCCCCAGTTTCTTCGCAGAAGTTTCTAGGCAGGGCAATGGTGTTCCCGCCGATCGCCCAGCCCCGGGATAGCAAAGAGGCTTCTCGGATATACGTGAAGCCATTATGTCTACTATACTAGGTAGAATATGGTAGACGTCGCCATAAGCCTATATATATGACAGTAACGGCGGCAGGCTCAATTCGGTCTCCAACTGACGGCTGCTATCGGGTCTAACACTAATGGTGGCAGATTTATTTATGGTGATGGTAAAGGTCTATTCCCTCGTCTCCTTCGTTTCGTCTATCAGAGCGAAGCTATTGCAAAACATTTGTAAGTTGAACGTTTACCACTAGCTGAATTATACGTTACATTCGTATTTTGAATAAACACTGGTTTTACCACACACGTTAGATTTGTCCTTCTTCAAATACATCGGAATATTAACACTGAATATTTGGCTCTAGGCCGTAAGGCTCCGCATGCGAGAGGCAGTTGCTTACTGTCACCCTAACAATGTCGTACAACAATACAACATTTTGTTTCTGATTGCTCACACGCTATATGCGTCTGAAGTGACTGATCGCGCTGATCCGTTAATCGATCAATGATTAATCAGCATGCTTTGTAGCAACGCATGATAATGAACCGCAATTTGAACATGAGTCCTGCATGCGAAATGGCAAAATTTAGTTTTGTGTCAGAGAGAATATGTATTTGCAGTTCAGATTGCTTGTATGCTAACGAATATGATACACGAAAAATCGTGCAGAGATCTTTCGTATCCGAGAATGAAAACCGATCAGATCGTGCTCGCAATGCTGTTGCTCAATCCCGACAGCTAAGTAGAATAAGTTAACTCTAGAAAATTGGTCTTCTCTAACTGGTTTTATGTCTAATTATCCTGTTGCTAACGATAGCAGAAATGTTTCTCTGATGTTTCTGAATTTAGTGGTTTCACATGATCTGTGCATTAGCACGGGGTCGTGTTATCCCTCAACGGGTGATCTTGTGATAGGTCGTGAGAAACGGCTATCGGCGACGTCGACCTGTGGTCAGAAAACGCGACAGTTCTATTGCGATCACGGCGCTAACAGCGCATTTCGCCATGAGGCACCTAGAGCGTGTATGCACACCTGTGATTCGGACCCCAAATCTCCGTACGTATTTGAGAACCATTGTTTTACCCTCAGATAATAAAAACAGCAGCTGCTACTGTTACGGAGAATGCTAGGGATCCCAGAGCAGTCATTAGGTAACAACTATACTTGCAGGCCTTGCGCGGCCGACAAATGATATTTTCAAAGAGTCCCACCACCTGTTCGTCGATTATGTTGCTAAATATTGAGATCTGAGGGTGGCTTTCCAGCTACCAGAAGTATATAGTCCTTGTTTCACTGGTGAACGATTCAGTAAAATCGATTTTTTATTATGACTTAATGCTTTCACGTTTGCAATAGCTTCAATTTTTTTTTTATTAAGCTATGTGTCCTATTATAGTTTGTTGCAACTTTGAGCCATAAGAACATAAACAACAAATATTGATATTCGAATGTACTGCGCAGTTAATTTTTAATGCAGTAATTTGTATATCTTCTACTACTTTAGCGGAAGTCAAATTAGGATTGTCCGAGTGCCAAGAGACTTTTGCCGTAGCTTCGATAGATAGCTAGCTAGCTAGCTAGCTAGCTAGCAGCTTAAACTCGTGTCCGTTTTTCCCTAAACTGGGAAGTTCGATGGGCACATCGATCTCATCCCGGGGCTTCTCGCGCACCACCTTATGCCACTACACTACGTTCCCAAACGAAAAGAGGTAGGCGAAACTAACGGACGAAGTCAATCGATCGTATTTCAGTAACTACTTCGGTATCGAGAACATTGTGAAACTTCAACCAGACTTACGAAAACGTTGGCAGTCGGAACCGGGCGTCATGGCCGTGTCAATACAATTGGACTTCGAAGCTGAATTTCATTTTACTCATCTTATTATGATCTTCCACACGTTCCGACCTAAAGCAATGGTGATTGAGAAGTGAGTAAAACGAACCAATGCATGTTCGGTACTGGGTGCAGTAAAATCACTAGCGCTAACAAAGTCGTCTTACGTCCGCTACTTAAGACGTTAGGCATTACTTTAGACAGTTGGCTCCCAGCACGGAACGAGATATACATAAGCCCGGATTCGAAGCTACGTGGTTTTAATTTATATAATAATAACAAGCAAAAAAATCACCCACTGCGCTGCCATCATTGACAACAAGGGAAAAGTTATATATATATATATATATATATATATATATATATATATATATATATATATATATGTATATAGAGATAAAGACAATCGTACACGGCGCAATAGGACTGGGTGTGGGCGCAGGTCTCTTTGAATAACTGCTGTAATACTAGGTGCAGGGTACGAAAATACGTTTGCCGTTCTTGCAGGTCAAACGACATGGGCAAGACGTTCAGGCCAATTGCATATTTCGCCCATAACTGTGCAGAAACCTACCCGCATATCCCTCTTGCGCCTAAGAAAAAGCTACTTGACGTCGTCTGCGAAGAGAAATATTCACAACTACTACCTAAACATGGCGGCAGCGTGTTATACTCGAATCTGAACCCTCGAGACGAAGCTACGAAAAAAGAGAACTTTAAAGAAATAGAAAAATTAGTGAGTGTGACAAATTTACGCTTTAAGTTTCAACAGCTGCACACGCTGGGCGACATGAATATCGGTGACAATGAGGCTTATAAGCAGAAGTATTATTATGCTGTAAGAAGCCTAATCGTTCGAGGCTCATGCTCGTGTTATGGCCACGCTGAGTCCTGCATACCGTTTGGTGACGAACCACATGTACCGAAAATGATTTACGGTAAGTGTGCCTGTATGCACAATACAGAGGGTGAAAACTGCAACCGATGCAAACCGCTGTACAATGACCTGAAATGGGAAGCTGCCTCTCGGGATTTTCCCGAATGTAAAAGTGAGTGATCACATTGTTAAATTTTATATAGTAATCTTAGATTCGCATCTGCTTACATCTTTCATAGTGCCTAAACGTTTCCGTAAAACGAAAAAAGCCACTGAAATCGCGTAAATTCACTATTTTTCAATATGACCAACAAGTGATAGGAACCATTTAGTGGATTAGGATGAAATACGCCGCACCTTCGGATTGAGTTTGGTAACTTTCATCAGTTTCCGCGATACAAATATCTATTGGAGTCCTGAACTAGGGCTCTGAACTTACCTGCGCTTTTTCTTTCAACACATATCGCCATATAGTGTTTAAGATAATTATATGGACGTATGTGCATATGAGATTGAAAAAAAAAAAAGAAGGATTTAAACTTCTTTCGTTTCGAAATTAGAAAATCAACGTTTTAAGTGCGTAAGGTGCGAATTTCCGTGAGGTTCCTTTACTAGGCCCGATAAGATGATCTAGAAAGTATATATCATAACAACAAATAGGACGGATGTAAAACACTGCAACACATTGCCTGAGATATCTTAAGTCAGGGCCATCTCGTCCTAGTTAGATTAAATAGAATCTTTTTATCAATGTAAACATTTATACTGCTTTATTTTAAGAATGTGAATGTAATCAGCACTCGGATAGTTGCGAATTCGACGAAAATTTATTTATCGCAAATGGCAAAAGGTCTGGTGGCCGTTGTCTAAATTGCCTGCACAACACAGCTGGTCCTAACTGTGAACTATGCGAAGATTTCTACTATAGGAATCCTAAAAAGTAAGTATTTAGAGAAACACTCAGATTTCTAAATGATTTACTAAATTTATCATTTGAATTAAATTAAAAAAAAAATAATAATAATTTTGTTTAGAAAATACTGAATTTAAAGGCGTTCGAAAAAAAAATATACTATTACAACCCTACTCGTCTCGAACGTATTTTTGCCTTATTTTCCCGTATCGGAATAATAATTTGTTTTTCAGAGCTTTTTCTTAGAAGGAAATCTACAGGAAGATTTTTCTGTTGGTCATAACAATGCACAGCTATACCGATAACCACAAATAAAGCAAAAACTAAAGCTCTTTAATCTGAATTTCTTTGTTGACCTTAATTAGCCTCTATAATCTTTGGCAAACATTTCAAGATCAGCTATAGCTACTTATGTCGCAATGCACACGAGTCTCACCCTAAATTGCCCATGGGCTTCGCCGTTTTACGGACCAGCTAATGGCGGCTAGGGTAGTGCACTTTCGCACCAAATGGACCACTGTTACCCGAGAACGACCTCGAGCTGTCCATTACCCGACTTCGAACAACCTCAATCGTACAATGAATTATGACGTGTGACTTAATAGCTTAATTTTTTACGCTGACGTCGCAGGCCATTAACGGACCCTGATATATGTCAACCATGCAATTGCAATAAAGCGGGCTCCCTAGAAGAAGGACGTTGTGAGCAGTACGATGAGAACGGATTTACGGCCGGCAAATGCCGTTGTCGAGATAATGTCCACGAACGAAACTGTGGCCGATGCAAAGCAGGATTTTGGAATCTCACTCAATCCAACCCATTGGGCTGTCAAGGTAAATTAGTTAGTCAGCCACAATAAATAGGTTCTATATACGATATATACTAAAATAAAAATTGCTCAAAAAGGTAGACCAGTTGGTTCGTCGTTTTTTGGGATTTTATTACAAATTCGTACAGCGCCTTAGTGAAACTTCAATCGTTGGTTTCTGAAAACCTCGACGAGGGAGCGTTACTTGATGTACTTAGTTGAGAACAAATACGCTGGTTCAGCTGCCCGTCAAGCCAAAGGTAAATTCATCACAAACAATGTTACTCAATATAGTCTTCGTGTTGTTATCTTCCTATATACGCATAAGCACTACTAGTCGTTTCAACGGAAATTGTCTTTGTTTATTATGCAATTGTGTCTCGTTTTGTTTGTCTAGCTTGTGAGTGCGACCCTCGTGGAATTTACCCCGGTAGTCAGGGCTGTAACGAGAAAACAGGGGAATGCTCATGCAAAGAGAACGTAACCGGTCAACTATGTGATGCTTGTGCGCCAGGACATTATGGCTTAGAGGAGGGACAAATGGGCTGTAAACCATGTGACTGCGATCGTGGAGGCTCAATTAACCCTGATCAGTGCGATCTCGAGAACGGCCAATGCGAATGCAAACCTGGCATCAAGGGCAGAAAGTGTGACCAAATAGAAGATGGTTTCTTTGTGCCTCTGCCAGATTATCTAATACACGAGGCAGAAGTACCTGATGAACAAAGAGTAGGCTATCTCAGTTCCTCTATAAGTTGGCAAGGCTCGCTTCAAAATTAATAGACCTCGGTGTAAGGCAACGATATGCGACGTTTTATATATTTTTCAAGTAATTCAAATTAACTCTGTCGTAACTGAGATCCCAGCACACGGCTACTAATTAATATGATCTATTTAAATGTTTATTTTGACTAAAAATATGATTAATTATCTGCAGAACACGAAGATTATTGCTCGAGCGCACTACGCACCAAGTAATCTTCGAGATTTTAGCGGACTAGGCTTTATGGATTTAGGCCCGAACGGCATGATCGAACTTCGGTACCCAGAGATTCCATGGACTGGGGAATATAATATTTTCGTTCGTGGAGATCCCAAGTCACATGATCAAGAGCTCGAGGTGACAGTGATTCGAGAAAATCCCCTTCGACACGGTAGCCCTTGTAAAAAAACCGGCACACAGGAGGAACCTAGAGATATCATTAGGCTCAAAACGGCAAGCCAGTACGTCCGCACTTCTTTTCCTGTTGCTTCCTGTAAATCCATTATATATGATTTGCCCATTTACATTTGACTTGAAAACTAAGAGATTATAATAAGCGGTGTCTGTTTCGATATTCGTTAAGATTTGTCGTACGGGAGAACTGCGTGCAGTTAAAACACCTACAGAATACGACTAATATAAATAAAACTCATTATTTTTACTAAATAAATAAAGTATGGAGGTGGTATTGCTAGATTTCCTTATGGGACATTGTATTTCGATAAGACATCTACTACTCTTTTTTTTTTACCTTAAATTAATAATAAACGTGTTGGCGGTAAGCACAATACTAGCCATAAGGCTAACCAATAGACTTAAAGGTAATGATTAGGCACTGGGTTGGTCTTCTACGACATATATATGAAAGTCGAAGAATTGCCTTTGTTTGTCTCGGAAGCCAATACTAACTTACAAAAATGTCTGAATGCAAAAACTTCACGCAATCTCGACGGACAGTAATGCGCTATATTTTTCTTCATGTAGAAATAAATCATATGTAAGCGAAACATATGTTATTAAGCAGCTATCAAAATAAAATGCTCTGTTTATCTTTATGTTTTTGAATTTCAGAGACCCATCGCCTGTCATGCAAGTATGCTTAGAAAAAGATAGTCCCGTAAGGGTCCGTCTTGAAGTACCCTCAGGATTCTCACCTCACAGCGGTAGTCAACTACTTATTGACTCGGTGGTTCTTATGCCCGACTATCGAAAACTCGACGTCTATCCGAAGAACACTAGGTCTGACCTTATGGATTACTGCATTCATCACGTTGAACTTTATGGGACTCACAGTTTATATGAAGAGTGTAAAAAGATCTTCTACCCGGCTGGCATGGCTGTATGGAACCAGGCCTTCAAATGTGAATGCAACGCTGCCGGTTCCACAAGCAACGTCTGTAATAGTCTAGGCGGACAATGTACGTGTAAGGTAAACGTTGTGGGACGTCAGTGCGAGATGTGCGATACCGTCTCATGGGGTCTCGAGGACAACGAGGAATGCATTCGTGAGTAACTGGTCAAGTATTGTTTAGATATATATTTATACTCAATAGTTTGTTAGCCTATCTACAGGATGGAGCACTAGTCATTTGACAGCTGTATATTTGCGTATTTGTAGTACAGATGCGAAAGATGAAGACTTTCAAGCCGAATGACTTTTTCAGATTGTAAAAGACCTGTTTTATTCTGTATATACGTGTTAATTGCAGCAGAATAATAACTTACCGCCATTGCAAATATGATTTTGTAATATATGCAAAGCGTACCACCAACTAAGTGTGAAAGGCTTTCGATAGGTACTATCAAAGGTCTTAATTTCTGAGGCATCATACGCAAGACTATAAACCCTATGGATTAATAGCTTTCTACCATCCACAGCATAGTCGGCCATTATGCAGCTCTTGCCGAACCCTGGGAAGACTTTTAGGCGCCATCGCGGAAGCCTCATAGACCTAGATCTAGAGATCTCATAGAGATTGAACTAGAACTCCCTGAGAGATTATCAAAAGGGCATAAAACATGACCTGTGACGTCTCTAGAGCCTCAACATTACTAAGCTCTTTCCCGCCCTTTTAGGTTTTTGGGCTGTTATCAGTTTTCTTTGGGATTTTCGGTCTGCTAACAGCCCAGATGCGAGCCAGTTGTAAGAAATTATTCCGGACATAATACATTTACGTTTTTCACGGGCCTTACGCTGTTCATCTTCCCAGAGCCATTCGCGAAGCGGTCTTCGTCGATTAGGATCATTTTCATTGATGATAGCACGTATCATTTACGACGCCTTTAAATGGACATTTGATTTACCGATCTCACACTCACGACCCGATTGGGATGTTTCGCTACATGTTTGCAGTGTCGTTTTCTGGCCTGTGAAGCTCGCTGTTGTTTTCGGCTTCCCGGAGCGTCTTCTGAAGACTGGCGATACTGTCTTTAGATTTACGCTACATTTTCATACTTTCAATGAGTGTATACCTTTTTCGCAATACTCTGTATAACACATCTATATTGTCTTGAAGGGAATCTTTTTTTTTTTTTTCATTTTAAAACAATGTTATCAAACTGAATATGCGCCATTTGAATCGATGATCTACGAGAAGCATCTCTTAGGAGATAGAATGATTTTTGGACCGCTTTTTCAACAATAGACCTTGACACGATTCATATATATAATTGGCTGTTATAGGCGAAATTTAGCAGACTTCAAAATGAAGTATCTTTCGCGCCATACGACGTTATCAGACAAAATTTGGATGGTAATTATTCCGCCCTTCTAAAAGTAAACCAATCGAGTTTATTTCACAAGAAGTGAGTTTCGAACATAAAGCATTTGTTAGTTTTGAAGTATCAATGCTCGGTGGACTAAACTGACATTTCATATATAACGTATTGCAGAGTTGTCTAAATGCGGAAACTGGGCAAAGATATGCCCCAGCCAATCGAATATGCGTATGGTGTAGTCCACCTGCAATTTGCAGACTCTTTAGACGAGACGTGGTTTAGTCCCCACAGCCAGTCGAAAAGAGGCCGGGCGTGAAAATCCCGTGGCTTTAGAGAAGAATCAAGCCAGTGTCCATAAGGTGATGGTAGCGTTTGCAGTGGATATGAGGGCATTTACTATTACAAAATTCTCGCCGAAAATTAAACAATTAATATAGCGCGCTATTTAAGAAATTCATGGATTACTTGGCGGATATTGACTCCGGGTAATTACCGGGCTTTCCATGCCCTACAAAGAGACAACCAGTGAGTACGCGGATCCAAGTATTGATTGGGAATGTATAGATTAAAAAATTACATGAGCGAACGCGAACGGTATGTGTATAACTGTGCACAGGCTGCCAGAGCGGTAGAACGAAAGCGCAGTAGAGTACTTGTCACAGAAAAAAAAAAAAGCGAGCCACAAAGAAGCACGGCTTGTTTGTCAACCGCTTCGGCAGTTTCGCCGATCCCAAAACTACATTTTCAAAAACAAACAAGAGTGACGACGGCAATAGCAGTATTGTTAATATATATATATATATATATATATATATATATATAATTGTTTCGTCGATGGTAATGACGAGACATGGGGTAACGAGGATAATCAAGGGCCCTGTACTACTGAAGGAAGGTCAGGACTAGTGCAGAACAACAGCAGATGGCTAGACACAACAACAGAAAGACAGACTAATTAATTGACTAGTGGGTTGATTGACTGTTGGGTGATTGACAGAAAGTGATTGACTGGAACGGGCAGTTGATTGATGACGAAATTGCTGTAGAAGGCAATGTGAGTCAGGGCCATAGAAGTCATTGCATTTCGAGCATATATGGCACCGTACGACGCTAATTCTACACGTATATACGTACAATATATGTCAACTTGAAGTACAACATTACAGGTTCGCATTAGATGTAGCGGACGTCATAGGTGTCAACAATGCGGTACATGTGGTTGCATTTGAAAGAAATGTAAGCGTTTTGAAACGCATCATTTGGACAGAACAACGTTGTCGACACATGAGCCACATTGCCAATAACCACGATCATGGATCACAGTTTACTATAGATACAAAATTAATACATATACGACAGGATATAGGCCTTAGTTCGGTCAAGTGAGCTTTAAGGGACGGTGCGCACATCCTTACTGTTCCTCTTCTTCGAGGATATATCAGTACTTGGGCCACTCAACACCCGGCTTCGCACTGCCCTGCAGAACTTCATACGTTCCTACAAAAAACAGATCGTCGTTTCTTTTATTAACTAGAATACTTCTCTATGAAAACAAAGAACTTCGTTCCTTGTACGAAATCATTAGTGGTCTACACGATCATAGCCGTGGCCCATCTAACCACAGCTAGTGAGGCTATATGGGCCAACGGCAGGCATCTTACGTTAATGTTCTCTCGAAAATGAATGAAGCTTATTCAGACCACACCACAGAAAAGTCTGCGACGTATATACTGGTTTATTATTTGCCTCTTGTGACACCGGTTATTTTCAACATAGCCCCACTCTCCTTTATATATAGACAATTGAGAAAATGTAGATCACTTACAATACGTATCGTTATGTCGATTGTAAGGGTTTCTTCCGTCGAAAATTATTACGGCATCACTAACTAAAAAAATCAGAGTTTATTTTGTACGTTGGATATGCGTGCCACAACCGCGGCCGACTGGGTGAAACAGCCATGGCCTAGTACGCTTTTGAATATAAGGCTTAACAAAGCAAAATTAATTAGAGTCGATAATGTTAGCATTGATTCCGGACCGTTTCTTTTGTTTATAACTAGCCTGCGAGTGTGACCATAAAGGTTCGTTAAATCAATTCTGCGACCCGCGTTCCGGCAAATGTAACTGTCGTGAGAACGTATTTGGTGATCACTGTGACCAGTGTGCGCGTGGTTATTGGGGCGACCCATTTAGTTGTCTCAAATGCGAGTGCAATGACAGGGCTGAAACGTGCAACCCAAAAACCGGCGAATGCATTGACTGCCGGGAGAATACAAGCGGCGCGCACTGCGAACGCTGTGCCGAGGGATACTACGGGGATCCGCTCCGAGGAATAGCTTGTCGACCATGCCTTTGTCCTGAAACGCCAGAGTTTGGACCTAACCATGCGGTTTCCTGCCACCTTTCCAGGTACGATTATGGGCTTTAGTTCAATACATCATATATTGTATCTACGTTTATGGCTTTCGTGCGGCAGTACTTAAATCCACTGCAAATGATTATACATTGTCATTCCGCCAAAGCAGCTTTGTTAATTGTATCTAATTAACAATTTCTTAAAATCCTGTTGCAGAATGTGAGACATCAGCTCTTGAAATTCCCTTGAGCGAATTGACTTATTTTTGACGAAGTGCATAAATGCAAAAGTAGCAATTGGCGACCCATTTTGACTTTCGATTTTTTTAATTAAACTAGCTAGATACAGAGATCGTAACGTCTATTCCCATCACACGAATTTAGGACATCTTGGCATTTGGCAAAGGTGCAAAATGTCTTACCTTTACATATGTATAGTTCTTCTAGTGATAGCAGGTTTACACTGGATGAATTTGTATAAAATAGATTATTACCGAGAGTCATAAATTTCAACTGAGTCCCCAACTAAATATCTAGGAGTTCCTAGGAATATCTAGGAGTGTTATGGCCATTATTTTTATGCCTTTCCTTGTGGTACTTGTTTGTTGGGCCTATTTTCTTATTGGGATCGCAGTACCAACGAGATGTACTGTCAATGCAAGCCGGGCTATAAGGGTGAAAAATGCGATGAGTGTGAAAACAACTTCTATGGAGACCCTACACGACCCGGAGACGGATGTCGCCCATGTGAATGCAACGGGAACATCGATCTTTCACTAGAGGGCAACTGTGATCCGGTGACCGGCGATTGCCTACGTTGCCTTTACAACAGTGAAGGCATTCACTGCGAACGATGTAAGGAAGGACATTGGAAAAACGGCACAAGGTCTGTTCATTTTACAGGACGACATTATCCACCTGTCAGAACTAGATAGCCACAAAACTAGCTAATATAGTCTCTTTGTATGTATAAAGAAGCGAGATCAGGACAATGCTCATATTTTGTCTGGCTGGACATTCTTCAGTACTCGTTGGTTTCCCAGAATATCTGAGAAAATGGAATACACGCTAATTATACGAAATAACTCGTCGACGAAGCCGTGCGCGCCATTAAGCATACTCAAAAATGGTGATGAGCTCCTATCGACGACAGGAATGAAGTCTGGAACGTAGGCGATCATCGATGTGATGCTGAAATTCTTTGCAGATGTGACGAGTGTTCATGTAACCCAAGCGGTACTCAAGTGGGCGCCCCTATTTGTGATCAGAAAACCGGAAAATGTAATTGTCTCCCCAATGTTGAGGGAATCGGATGTGATCGCTGCAAGCCGGCACATTGGAACTTCAATTCCGGCAAAGGTTGCGAACCATGCGCGTGCAATACACATGGCACCATCGATGGCAGCGAAGAGTGCAATGTATCGGACGGACAATGTCATTGCATAGCAGAACGAGGAGGCAGAAGGTGCGACTTGTGTTCAACCGGCTACCACGGAGTTCCTGACTCTAAGTGTTACAGTTAGTATACAGTTTTAGACTACTAATAAACATGCTTCTATTTCCTTTAGCCAGCCATGATCATGTTGTGTACTTTTCTCCTACATTATAAAGGGGAACTTCTGAATAACGCATAGAGCCTAATTCAAAGCTAGCACAATGATCCGCATGAAACGTTTTTTTATACGCGCATAGTTCTCTCACATATGTATACATATATATATATATATATTTTTTCTCTTTAAGAGAGAGAGGCCATAATAATAATTTGTTTCAGAATGCGAGTGTGATCGATATGAAGGTGCTATGACAGCAGTTTGCGATGCTGCTACAGGACATTGCGTATGCAAACAGGGTATGACAGGACCGCGCTGCGATCAATGCGCTCGTGGCTTTAAGGGTCGTTCACCGAAATGCGAACCCTGTGACAACTGTTTCGCAAGCTGGGACGTAATCATCGGAGAACTCGATGCACACACGCGTAACCTTATCGACACTGCCAAGTACGTCATAAGTGTTAATAATAATTTGATAATCTCACTCTTACCAATTGCAACTTAACTTCAATTTTTAGATAGTGCACAAAGTATACTTTTCGTATTTACTTCTTCAAAGATCGTTCTTATAAGATTTTCTCTCCAATTGAACATGTCTGCTTGCTTCGTGTGCCTGCGATACGTCTGTTAATTCCAACTTGTACATTCTATAAAACATAAAAACCATATGATCAAAGTTCACAATAAAATTATGAAAGGAAGAGTGCCAGCCAGTTTGTCGATACATACAGGTGGCTACATGCATACACATTAGGTTCTTCTAGATAAAGAAATTCTTCTGAAATAAACGATCTTAGATATATAGATCCTTATAGATGAAACGATGTGGCGATGAAATACTAACTACTGTTTTTGATGCACTATAGGCTGTTGCACTATAAGATTGAATTTGATCTTCAGGCTCATTAAGCAAACCGGAACATCCGGAGACACTCGAGAATTTAAAGAGATCGAAGATTACCTGGCGAATACACGCGAGATCCTTGCTCGAGCAAATATTACTGGCCTTAATCTTTCTCAGAGGCAAACTCTTTTAGATGAACTTAAAGCGCTACTTGATCAAGTTGAGGGAAAGTTAGCGCAGGCTGAGGTTAGTTTTTCTTGAATATATATATATATATATATATATATATAGCTCAGATCATCTGATACCTATTCAATTTTCTGACGCACAGCTAGATTCGGAAAATCATAACACATTATGGCTTAGCGAACACATATAGCATGTTTTGATTCTGGAAATTACACACAAACACTTCACGTACACATGTGCTGAACATTAATGATTAGTTACACTTTTCAGAATATGTATTCATTCTTCATCGAAGATTCTTTGACCTTATCGAAGAGGGTGGCCCAGTTAGATGGTGACATCGAAACACTACGAGCTAAGGTGAAGAAGCTTGAAGAAGATATGACCACTCTACAAGAACAAAACGTTATGGGGGCCTTTAACCTCATCAAGAAGAACGTACAGGAAGCAAAGGAATACCAAACAAAGGTATTGGCGTATGGTTACGATTGTGCTTTTCCTAGCCTGGAGCGGGGCAAGATGACTCACCATCCTCTCAAATGTTCTGTTTGGCTTTGGCCATAGAACAGCTACTGAACAGTGCAGAGGTTGACCCTAAAGTCTGACTTATACGTGCCTTTGAGTAAAACCAATACGACTTGCCGACGTGTTCTTTTTTTTTTTCTCTGTTTTGGCCTCTAGGGACATGAGGTTCGTAAAATCATTGAAGATAGCTCAAGCAAGCGCGATGCCGCCTCGCGCTTGTTGACCCGTGGTAGGGGTCAATTCCACGATATACATCAGCGAAATGAGCAGATGTTAACAGACCTTAATCGAGATATTGGACATCTAGAGAATGAAATTCCTAGAATCAACCGATACGTAAGTAGAGACATAAATTACATGAAATTAAATTTCGTTCTCCTTTGCTAAACGCATCTTGCATGTTTAGTGTACAAGGAAATCTTCTATTTCCTTTATTCCATCTGAGAAGCGAAGTCAGCTACTAGAGAACATGATGTCCTAACATTTTTTTGAGGTATTCAAACGTCAATAATGGAAATAAAAGAAAGCGTAATCAATTTATGGCAGCTCTGCGCCAGCGATACCTCAGTCGAAGGCTGTAAGGATAAGTGTGGGGGAGTTGGATGCGATCACTGCGGAGATCAGTTTGGCTGTACCGAGGCGGCTGTACAAAAGGCGAAGCACGCACTGCAAATGGCCCGCGACGTACAAGAAATCGTACGCGAGAAACAGGCGCGAGCGACCCACATGAGAGATGATATCGAAACTGCACGAAGCCAAGCCAACCAGGCGCACACGGTGCGTATCTTCATAACTTCTAAACATTTTTAAAGTACCACAAACTTATTTTTATGAGCCGACTTGCGTGAAGCTGCAAGGACAACGAGCAGTGTTTTCATGAGATGATGTCCATAGACAAATTCAACCCTCTAAAGGGCTCGGCAGATTCCTGTCTCTATTAGATCACTATATAGTTAGTTGGGTAACTAAGAAAGCACCAATGGCGAACCAAACCTTCTTTTTTCAGAAAGCGATGGAGGCGTATACGGCTGTAACGGTTGCGCGCGACGATGCCACGAATGCTGTCACAGAACTGAAGAATCTCCTGCAGGAAATTGAAGATCTTCTTAAAAAAGCCGTAGCAACACCATCTGAGATTCTCCAAATGGCGAAAGACTGCCTTGAACGTAAGGTGCAGCTAACACCTCAACAAATTCAGGACCTATCAGCCCAAATCCAAGACACAATACGAAGTCTTTCTGACATTGATCGGATTCTCAAGGAGACCGAAAATGACAAGCTACGTACTGCCGCACTCAAAAACAAAGCCGACAAGGTTGAGTAAGTACTGCATGTACCTTTTTTTTTCTACCGCTATGTGTCATACTTTCATATTTCGCTTAACTTGTGATTATCGACTGCAATGAAAAAAGCTGCCCAGATATTCAAGTTTTCACTTAGCTTGCCTTCAAAGCGGAAATGCTGTCAGTCTACCACCTTGCTCAGATAGTTTCCTTGCTAATAGTCATCATTAGATTTAAACATAGGTATTCAAAATAAGTATCTTTAGTGTGGTAAAATATTACAGGTTTCCAATTCTAGTAGTTATTGAGGGGCTTTGTTTAATGCCCTAAATTTTAATACTTCAATCAAACAGGAGCGACGCTCAGAGAATCCTGAGTTCCGCTGAAGCAGTCTATTCATATCTCGAGGACGCCCGGCAAGCTCAGAACGAAGCCCGGGGTGATCTGGATACTACTAAGAGGGAAACGAGCGACGTGAAGGACGAAATACGAGAGGTAAACATTATTTTCAAAAATTTCTCAGGCATTGCCACGATAGCTGTCACTTACATTGAGACTACTTCACCCTTCAAGGTTTCAACTTGCATATCTGACAAAGAGCAGTTCTTTAAGCTTTGGTCAATATCTTAATAGTCATCGAGACACTTGGACTGACGGTATTTCTTGTTTCATTTTGTTTACCTGGCAGTTGGATGATCGTGGAAATAGGGTAAAAACGAGGGCCAACGACTTATTGAGGGTCGCAACGAGGCTGTCAGATCGCTTGAAGTCTTTGCAGCGAAATAAGACCGACGTAAATTACAAGGTTGGGAACCTTAACAGCGAGTTTGAAGCAGCGCAGAAGCAGGCCGACCAGGCACACGGTTTATCTCAGCAACTCTCGGATAGATATCAGTGAGTGTCACACATCGTAGATAGATCACTAACATTAGTCAATAAATCAAGAGTCTTGAAATACATTTTCGTGTTCTAATATATTGTTATGCCGCATGATGAAACGTAGAAATAGCTTTCGGGAAACGCTACTGTCATCAGCGGAAGGCTGTTCCAGTGTAAGCAATCCAAATTTCCAAACAAACAACTAAAAGCCTGTAGCATGTTCCTTCAACACAATTTTCGACAGAGATAACTAAGCTGATATCAAAGTAAGGGTATGCCGGTTCTGTAAAGCATTTTCCGATGATAGCGTTTACAAATTGTCAAAGCGTCTATGTATTGTGCGAGCCTTCAACCCCCTGAAAATCATTTGAATGTTTCCAATCACTGTATCTCTGTTTAACAGGGAAGCTGTCCACGAGATCGAGCGTAAAACTCTGTCTGATAATTCAAACAAAGGTTTAGCTGACAACCTTCGTCATCGAGCTCAGCGTCTCAACGCTGACATACAGTCACGACTGAGCGAATTGCAGAACCTTGAAGACACGTTTATAGATAATGAGAAGAAGGTGAGGCAAGATATATGAAGCAATATTGATACTGTTCATAGGTCAAGATTTACATACATTTTAGTAGCAGATTGGCACTCGAAACCTGTACAGCAGCCCTGTTCTCCGATGCCAGCACTTATCGCGGTTTTAATCCATTAACCTATAGTTAGCCTATATATATTTACCGTGTGGTAAGCAAATAAATCGCTATTTTTGTACTTTTCTATTCTCGACACAATTTTAGGCACAATCGCTTGGTTACTTACCTAATATATGTATACGTAGGGATCGCCTAACGACTTCGCCGATGTCCTTTTAGGTGAAAGGTTACGATGACCTAATAGATGCTCTCATGAGAGAAATGGACGAGCATCAATCGTACATTGATGGACGGGCCAGATATTATCAGAAATGCACGAAGTAATGGTCCTCGAACCGCGTACCGAAATACTTGGTCGAAAATTTTTATAGAACGGTCATGGGACAACAAAGCGCACATCAATGGAACAGCAATCATCAACTATGAATTAGGCACTAAAATAAAACAAATTATTAAGGCTACATGTGAATGTTATTATAGAAATGCGAAATAAACTATGTAGAACTCTCGCGAAGATCCAATGCATTATAGGATGATGACGCCGGCAATGAAAAATAGTTGAATAAAATAAGTAACGAAGAACACAGCCTACAACCTCACTACCTCGTACAAAGAGGATCTTCGTGTAGATACGGAATCGATCCAGCTAGCATTGCTTCTTGTCAGCTTCGATGCAGAACAATAACTACAATATAATAATACTAACTAGGACATGTGAGCGTTCCCTGTAGCATAGCTTTCGCTCGTCGACGAGACCGGGTTGTGGTTGATAGACAGCAATGTTCAACGCAATCGATGTCGGGTCGTGTCCTTGCTCACAGATACACCAGATTGGCTCGGAAAAAATGATACGATACTTTGGTAAACAGCTTGGCACGGCCTGCACGATTCAAATGATGAATCGGAGAGATCAAGAACACTCGCGCTCGGTCATGAGTACCACGTTAGCCCCTACGTCCTGCCAGCTTTGAAGCGAACGTGCCACACACACAAACACGTGTCAGCGTCGTCCTAATCCAATAAGGTGGTACACGTATAGACCTCGCCAACAGAATTTCTGTACCACAGCCAAACTCTCATATTGTGTGTATGTTATTGCTATCGTTCAAGCGTTCCAATGTATTAGAGAAGGTAAAGTTTCCATAATTTAGTCTTCTTTATCTATTCACTGTTGGTTGACTTATCTCAGAGACACGCGATGGTATGATGGCTTTAATTCGTCGAAAAGATATTAGCTAGTTTATTCATTTCGGGTTTTCTACATTAGATCAACTCAGTCATCATTTATTTATATATCTTCATTGTGTGCGCGACTGATTTTTTACACTTTTTATTGCAATTATCACAACCTTTTGCCCACGACATGTAAAATATAATATTATAGTTGTTGAATGAGGGCCGGAATCGGCTTTAATTGAATTGTACACTGCAGTTCTCATTAGAAATGTATATGTTGATCTGTGGCAAGGCCTATATATATAGATCAAGCGTAAATTCGTTTTATTAATGAAACACAAACAATTTCCCTATATGATGTTATCTCGAAGGGTGTGCCATTAGCCTTTACCTATTCCTTCTAACGGTATTTATCTATATAGCTATAATAAACCCTTTCTAGTATTACTATTTTTATGAGTACTATTAATATGATATTTTCATTTCCTTGAAATGCAGTTAGAGAAGTATGTCCGAAAACGAAAACGTCAACATAAATCTATCGAGCTCTGTGTATTTACACTAAATAAACGAACCATATTTTTATCCCCATATAATAACAGATCATATTTTCATATGATAACAATAAATGTTGGTTTCGATCCGGTCTTTCCAAAGTGACGGCTACATGCGAACACGCCAGCCTAAACTCGCCATTTTCTGCAACCCAAATCCCCAAGCAGAATCGAAACATAGTTTTGTTTTTTATGTCCGCTTATATGTTAAAATACAGGAACAC